GAAAGAAAATTAGTCACAAACAACATTTTTTAGTAAATAACATGTTTTTCATTCAAAAATATAAACAAAATCAACATTTATTCAGAGCTAATGACGTAACAATAAAAAAATAATATTTAGGCATGGACACATTCCACTTTTTCCCTGTATCAGGTGTCTATTGGAGGGTCATCCACAAATTCGTCTTCGCTCTCTTCAGGTTGTTCGGCAAATATTACTTGTTGATAAAACACTCTGGCTTCTGCTCTCTGAAGGAATGCAGTCAGATCTCGCAAATCCTTCCATTTGAGTTTTTTGACGGGGAATGGGCACTGATAAAGTTTTGTCAACCTCTTCATTTCTCTGATTCTTTTTCTTTGGTTCTTCGTAAGTGGTTTTTGGTAAAATTTAGAACATGCATAAAGACCACAATATGTGGTTTTGTGAAACACCAACGGGGATTCTCATTACAAAACTTCAGCAACCTGATAGACCGAGTCGGGAAGGGGCACTTCTTTAGATAAAGCGGTGATAAAAATGAACTCCAATTTTGAAGCAAAAAATTTTTGCCACAGTCAATCACTTCGAATGTTGTAGATTTCCCCGATAATTTCCTAATTCTTCTCTCCAGTCATATGGTACCTCAGTGTATGCTTATTGATTTACGAGGCTCATGTCTCAATCACATTCGAGGTATGAATGCCCCCTGATTGGGAATATCACTTTCACAGTATCAAAATGGTTGTTTTTAGTGACGAAGTAATGCAGGAACCGAATCACAGTGAAGTTTTCATTTTGTCCTGCCCAGGAATCACAAAATTTTCCAGTTCTTTCACTTTCATGGGAGGATATTATAATAGAAGTGATTCAGCATAGAACAAACGTCGTCAGCTCCTTTCTCAGCAACCTAGGTGTAAAATACAGATCTTGAATTTTTTGAAAATCTATGGTAAAACTTTCCATACTGATCGACTTTGCGGCATTTTTGCGGTAAAATTGCTCACTTTTTTTTAGAAGTAGCACTTTTTCTTAGAAGTAGCTCTTTTTCACGCATTTTTTTCTCCAAATCATCGCTTGCCATTTTCCTGCTGTTATCATCCGAGATTGAATTCAATGTTAGAGTAACTGAAGATATGTCGTGTTACACGTGCTACACGTTTCTTTGCGTGGATACCCAAATGAAACATTAAAGTTACGTTCAAAAATTCCGCTTTCGTAGGAAAGCTTATTATCAGCGTTCCGATCAGAATACCTACATTTTGTGCAATTTGACGATATTTAGGTCTTCAGACAGATACATGTTTTTCAAGTATGTCAAGGAATAATGTGATTTGCGCCCTTTAAGACTCTTAATTAACTCGATCACTTTCTGTTTTGTGTCTTCTGAAAGTTTGTTAGGTCGTGTATTGTGTTTTCCACGCATGTCGATGGGTGTTTTCCCAGCAAATACTCCATGAGGTATCTAGCTCAACGACCTGTGTTCCATGTAAAGACAAAAAAGCATTAATACAAACTGGAACATCACGAGGAACTCCATCCTCAATCAATTGAACACGATAGCTGAATGAGGCATTATTAGGCCTTGATTCTACTTCATTTTTTCGAGGACGCCTACGCATGCCTGGAAGAAGTGTGATTAGGCCACTGAGGTACGAGTATTAGTGTCACCTAGTTTGTTCTGGAACAATAGTGAAACAGCGAAAACGTTTACAAGAACAGTCAGGACCCAATTCATGTGTAGTAGCAAGCAAAGTTTTCATAACATTTCGGCTTCTACCTGTATAGTCACTATTCATTGTATGTACTTGCTGTATAACACTATAACAATAATTCAACTGGTGTAGCTTATGCTATTACCAAAATGTATCTTTCTATAATACAACAACATGCACTTGGCTACAAAATACACAAGAATAAATTAATGGCTGATCCTGCCGGCAAGGACTGTTGCCGTTTTTCCATACACGGTCGCGGACTAATGCCATTCTTCCCAGGTATAGGCGATCTTGTTTCTGTTGTTTTGAGGACCTAAGCTACTTTTACCATTTAACGATTTCATCATCTGATATATACTATAATACTCCATGAAAATAAACTGTACGCTCATTTTTACATGAAAATGGACTGATGCCGGACCCCTGGACCCCTCAAATGTTATGTACCTTTTCATATCAGATTCATTTATTTTGTATTATTTTCATGTTACGAATCCAATTCTTTTATCAGAGAGATGGAAATTGGTTATTATTATTAAGTGTTTTCAGGATTCGAAAATAATTATACTGACAATAAAACTTTGACAGAATCAAATTTCCAATGAATCTCTTCAGAAAAATCTATAATATAAACGTTGTATCTATAATTTCCCATTATTTCAATATTATACAATCATACATTTTTCATGGAGTGTTATTGATTTTCATCAAGTACGAAAAGTTTGATTGAATGCAAAATTTTCTGAAGTAATTCGTGTCAACTAATATTTTATGCAAATTGAAATTTAAGTAGGTACCCAACCTTGAAGTTGAGAATATTATTTTACCAATATCCAAATATTGGATCTACCCCTTGACTTGCCTACCAATATTGTCTATTTGAATTCTTTTCAAACTAGCTTATATCATTATAACAGCTATATTATAACAGGAGTTTCATAATTTCAACAGCTGATTATTTTTGATGTGCGTGACTTCTCAAGCTAGTTATTTGTGGAATATAACGCGAATGGTTTATTCTAAACTCAAATGACATTTTATTGTACAGAAACTCCGTTAAAGAAATCAAGGTCACAGGAAAATTGTTTCCGCGTATTTACCTTAGATCCATTAGGTACTGATTGAATCACCGATTTCTGATTCTCAACCGAATAGTTTTTATATGAACAAATACTCGAGATTCATTAGATGAAATGATAAACAACATTAAAAGTGCAAACAAAGAACGATTCATCAAAAATTCACACCTTCAATTCTTGCTTATTCAAATGACGTAAACTTCTTTCGACCTCAAACATTCAGACTGGATAGTTGAAAAAATACCAACCATATAGATATAAAAAGCTTGCTAATAAGAGAATTATTCAGTACCAAAAATGAAGTGGTCCGTTTTAGTGTGTGCTGTGGCCGTTCTAGGCTATGCGGTTACGGTCGAATCAAGAACTTTGGGAGTTCAGGTTTGTTTTATTTTTTTAGAAAATTTTCATCTGTTTTCGGAAATTCATGAGACCTTAGTGAATCAATAAGACACTTCATGTTCTGAGTAATTTGTGATCCTGTCATACATTTGTCTATAAGACTGCTCTGTAGCTCAAACAAAAATAATCATTTCAGATAATCATCACACAATTCTGTTTCAGGTTTAGGTTCATGTTTGGCCAAATTCTCATACTGATTTTTTTTTCACAAGCAATTTTCCTCGATGCAACTGTGATACGTAATTATCACAGACTCCAAAAATATAACATTATGAAAGAACAGTGATGAAAAATTAATTCTCATATGTAAACGCGACCCTTTCATCATCGGGGAGGCGCCCCAATTGGGATATTCAAAAATCTTCCTTTTAGGGCACATCTACAATATAAAACAAACCTACCAACAAGAAAAGTGCATTTTTTTTATTAGATAGATTTTTTTTCTTTCTGTTGAATTTCACATACACTGAGGGTCAAACTCCATAATGTATGTCTATGCCAGAATGTATTCATTTTTTTTGTTACAATTATGGCAAATAACTCATGACATGAGGTTCCTCAAATCATTAGTGTAGTGTCTCAAGTAACAGGTAGATGTGGTACGTTATCTCCAAACATGCTGAGGATTTCACTATCACTCGAAAGGGATCATTTCTATCAACCTATTGAATTTTATTTTCGAAACACGTGTCTCTCTCGAATGGTTCAAAAGATATAGGGCTATTGCTTGAAGTTGTAGCTTGAACTAACAACTTTTTGTCTTACGGAGTACTTTGCTGAAAGTACACATCACCTTAAAGTGTGCGAATGTTTTAATGAACATAATATACTTTCAGAGACAATACCGGGAAAAAAGAAATCCCCATGAGAAACATGGAAGTCCAGTGTTAGGCGGTGGCCTCGGAGGCGGAGGTGGTTTCGGAGGTGGAGGAGGAGGAGGATTTGGTGGAGGTTCCGGAGGAGGATTTGGATTTGGTGGAGGCGGAGGCGGTGGACTAGGAGGTGGTGGTGGATTTGGCAAAGGCGCTGGTCTGGGTGGAGGAGGTGGTGGCGGTGGAGGAGGAGGCGGAGGGTTTGGAGGAGGAGGCGGAGGTGGATTTGGTGGCGGAAGTGGAGGAGGGTTTGGATTTGGAGGTGGTAAAGGCGGTGGTTTAGGAGGGGGAGGCGGTAAAGGAGGTGGCTTAGGAGGAGGTGAAGGATTCGGAGGTGGCGGTGGTGGAGGAAGTGGAGGAGGATTTGGAGGTGGTCAAGGTGGCGGAAAAGGTGGAGGATTCGGTAAAGGGGGAGGCAGTGAATTTGGAGGTAAGTATTCTGAGATGATTTAACAATTATGTAAATGGATAATTAGGAAGGTTGAATATTTTCAATGCTCAATCAAAAACGTTTTGTAAGTGATTTCCATGTAATTCAATTCAATTCAATGTTATTTCATCTACAGTCATTGGCACATAATAGAATGAAAGTATTTGATTGGGAGTTATGTATTCTAAACAATATATGTATTCTAAACAACATATTAAATCACAAAATTGAAAATTATCACAGAAATGACGACCAATAGAGGATTATTCTCAAATTCACATTTTTTCCATTTATCGCTTTCTGTCATTTCGGATTTTGTATTAATTTTCCATAAATGTATAGTTGTACCACTTACTGAGGTGATTCAACAAAATGGAGGAAATCACGGAGAGCATCATGGAGGACATCATGGAGGACACCACGGACACCAAGGACATCACGGGGAACATCACCATGGCGGAGGCTTCGGTGCATACGCTCAATCATCAGCACAGGCATCAGCCGGCTCACAGTGAGTGACTTTTTCATAGTTCCTATTGTCTATAGTTTCTTCAAGAAATGAAGATTGTTTTTCATAAAATATAGAAGAAAATGGATCAAAAGTTGAACAAAAATTATTTGGGCTGTAATTTTTTTTTCATCCAGATCTCTCTCATATCAGTTATGAATATTGATTGCTCATATTATGATAATGATGATATATTATTTATTTCAGTGGAAAGTAACCCATCAGAAAAGAAGAAATACNATAATGAATATAATAATATAAAATAATATAATTCATCGTCTGTGTCAGATAATATAACTGAAACCCTTCTTCTCGCTATAAAATGCCTCGGTGATAATAAAAATGCGTCTGTTGATAGAGATTTGACCAGTTTCAAATGCACTGCTCGATAAACTGCTCAGATAAACAGTACGATCCAGGACTTTTCTCCCCTTTTCAGGTACAAAGTTCCGGCTAAATCTGCTTCCGTTATCTCAAAAGCTGACACATTGTTTTTCCTGTCTTTCGGTAGTGGCGCAAAAGGTGTATTCATGCATTCACTTCTGAATTCTTTGCATTGGACACATTTTTCTATTATTTATTTAACAAACTTTTTTCCCTTCAGTATCCACAATCTTTCACGAAAAATTTCAAAAAGTCTTCGAGCCCCTACATGAAGATGTATTTCATGTTGTTCCTCGATCAATTTCCTAACAATATCATGTTTATATGATAAAACAACTAGATACTTGAAATCATTACTGTCATCAGTATAAGTACCTTCTTGAGATGCACTGTTTGGAACTTTTGGTGTAGTAATGAATATTACTGGAGTCTTTTCCTAACACCAAACAGTTATTTTAACGCCTCATGTGTTAAAATTTTAACACCTCAGGTGTTAACACCAAGCCGTTATTTCAACACCTCATATGTTGAAATTTCAACATTTTGGGTGTTAAAATAACACAGTAAAAGTTTAGTTTGTTCACGTATAATATTATTTTTGTTCATCATCAAATGAAGATTTCCTCTGCACGAATTTATTTCTTTCACACGATTCCCCACGAATGTATTCCAAGACCCTTTTGTTTTCATTCATGTTAGGGCTTTCATGAAATCACTCCAATAAAATGTTTTTAACGGTCGCATTTATTTCACCGCCTTAATAAATTGACATAATCTTACTCCAATGACTGTACTTAATAACTCAAACCTTGATATTGTGATATTTTTGGTGCCATTCTAGATTTATCCTGAGTGAGTTGTAGAACGACTTCCATATTTGTTTCTGTTCTTGAAAATACACAAGATGCATTTGCTGTTTTGCTGGCATCACAAAATACATGGATAGAAACATTTTCAGGAATGAAATGAGTTAAATTATTAAGCAATCTTGGGATTTTACAAACTTTGAGGAAATGAAACTGTTTCATCCACTTTTAAAATTTATCTATGGTGTCGCTTGGTATTCCTTCATCTCAACCAATGTTTAGTGTCCATGTTAACTGTAATAACAGTTTCGGGATCAACGTTACTGGACATGTGAAACCAATGGGATTGAAGATCTTTTGTGCTACTGACAATGAACCTCATTTCGTTTCAGGTGTAATATTCAAATCAATGAGACCGGACAAATCAAAATATACATTGTTTTTAGAATCCCATGAAATACCTAAAACATACATATTTCTTCCATTGGAAAAATCACCAGCAGAATTATCCGATGGAATTATATATGTCAATTGTCTGGAGTTAAATTTTCCAATCGACATTAACTCTTCTGATTGACTGATAAAAGTATTCAATTCTTCAATATTACTGACACTGGTGACACAGTTGTCGACATAAAGCGATGTTTTCAATTTACCGGCAGTGTTTTGAAATGAATTGGGCTTTATCGAAATGATGATCGATATTGGATTCTAACAGAAAATGGCAAGGTCGCAAAACAAAAACTACTACTACAAAATGCCTTTTCTATATCAGATATAACTCCTGTTAGTCCCATTCCCAATTTTATTAATAATGATGGAATCAATTCTACTAGATTGGGACCCTTTCCTATACATGTATTTAGTGAATTTCCGTTATTATTCTTCGTTGATGCATCAAATATCGTCCAAATTTCCGTAGTGATACTGTTTTCTTTAATAACGGCACGACGAGATACATAGTGATTTGGTCTATCAATTGAATCTCCCCTTACTTCTTCTATGATACCTCATGATTCCCGTTATGTGAAAACTTTACTATAATCTTTACATTTTCTTAAGCTAATTGAGTTTTTTTTGTTCAAGACAACAATCTTACTTCAGATATATCTTAATTGTTCGAAAGTGTCGGATGACCCTTTTTCCACGGAAGATTTATTTAATATCTACCATCATCTGTTTGCAAAACCGCTTCTTTGAAATATTTTTTCGTTTTAAAATCAATAATTTCTTTCAGTGTAACAATCGCGGGCTCCTTCATACCCGAAACATCTAATTACCACAAATCAGCAATAGAAAAATCAGTAAAATCGAAAAAAATACGATTGTTATGGATTTGTTGTCCCCTTATAGTCCAACCAAAATACGTTTCTATGGCAACAAGTCCATTATTCAAATTTTCAATATGCCCTGTTATTAAATTTCCAAAAATAGTGATAGTGATGCTTTATTGTCAAGGAACATTACATGTTTATGATAGAGAATTTAACATGTTAACTCCAACTGGAATTTCAGGAACTATCGGGATTATAATGCTTCCGCTTCTTCTAAGATCTTTGTTGCAGCGATTTCTTACAACCATAGGATATCTCGAAGTATCCATTCAGTGAATATACATGACGTCAAACTAACAAATGACTAGTATAATATCTGCCCCTAACAAAAATTTAATTTTTTGTGGACGATTATACATACTAATATCACTCAAAATTATGTTTTCATCCTTCAAATAGTCTAAAACAGCCAAATCTCGCAATCTAGGTGTGTAATTATATATCTTTTTCTATTTCAATACTGACAATTTGCAAGTAAAGTCATTTTTAATGTCACCTATTGCGATACCGTATATATTATGGGGGTTCGGAGAAGATTGAAAACAACCAAAATCACATTGTAAGATATTTTCCTCTCCTTATGTCATTGTTTTGTTTGGATTTTCATCTGGTTGAAACTTTTTTGAATCTAAATCACACCACATTTTTTATTAGTCCTTAAACAAGAAAATCAACCCTTATTTTACACAACTTTTGCTTCTCTCTCTCCCAAAGAAAGTTTTTGTGCAGTTAAACAATTTTGACTTGCTTCCGTACTATTATCACAAAATATTCAATTTGGTATAATTTGCCTTAACTGTATACAATGCTGTAGTAGAATATAATTCAGGTCCACCTTGCAGTAAACGTTTTACCTTACTATTATGTTCCGGCTGCTTCATTTCAATTCAAAACTCGTTTTTGCCAAATTGATTATTTCTTCTGATTCCACCTCGTTTATCAGGAAATCTTACAAAATTATAGGATAGTTATCAGGAGCAACATTATCTATTTCATTTTCACTATGTACTTTCACCTTCGAACTACGATGTATTTTCCAAATCTTGAGTAACTCACTCGAAAGTGTAGATTCAAGCAATGCACAAAGCATTGCAGAATATTTTTCAGTTGTCACACCTAATGTGATTTATATTTAATTACTTCAGTTCTATAAAACTCCATATCGTCAAACTCTTGTTAAACTTCGGCATCGTTGAACTTTCCGGAAAATAACTGCTCCTTGAAGGTCTCATCAATGGTGGTGAATATTGTCTCAAGTGTGATAGTATTTGTGCCTTACTCGTTTGCTTCGTACTCAAGGTTGCTGCTACATCTAGGTTGCTGCTAGTATTACGAAAATGACTTCGCAGCTGCTCTCTTTCTTTCTGCATCATCAATAACTTAATCCTGTGACGGTCGCCAATATTTAAAATATGTGATGAATATAATTTTATTATCAGATGAAGTCTACTGACGTTTATAAATTCGTTTTATTCGACAACTCTAATCAAAATCTTGATTCGACAAGCTTGATTCAACTTAAAAAATTGTCAGGCATCAATCACATAAACTAATTAATGGAAATAATAAAAACATAATATATTCAAAATCTAATATTGACTGTAAATCAATAGTTCAATAGTTTTCTATTCACGGTCACGTATTTTTTTTCAGAAATGAAAAAATCAACCATTGCGAATCATTGAAATCAATTTTATCTATGGGAAAATTCCCTATCAACATTTTATAATTCTTCACAAATATACAACATTTGCAATGACAAAAATGATTGAAAATGTAAGAGTCAGGAAGGCCTGATCTTTTTGTGGTCGTGCGAAATCTCCTATTTCACATTATTATTTCTTTAAAGTTCCATTTCCAAGTTTTGAGCATACTTTTTTGTATTATAATTTATCATCACCAAACTTCCTCACTGCCTTTGAATTACTTTGAAAAAATATTTCACAGATATTTTTCTGTATCATTTTCGGATCTAAAAAATCTGTGGAAGTTTATGCCAAACATTATTTCAAAGAGCTTTAATATCACTTACATATGTTGTATGAGACAATGCGGAATTATTACAGACTAATTAAAAATTATGACAAAAATATTAGACCCGCTCAACACCTACTGTCCAAAATGTTCTGGTGAAAAAACTTTGGTTATATATTCCATTACTTGGGTGTTCGTGAAAAATGGAAAACTCACCCGCCCCAGCTTCCACTCGAAGCAGAAGAAGAAGATTTACTCCAAGAACCTCCACCACCGCCACCTCCTCCAAAGCCATGACCACCACCACCTCCACCACCAGGATTGTATCCGCATCTATTGCATCCACCACCACCACCAGGAGATCTTTTTGGGCGTGATTCAGCACTGGTTCCAATGACTCTCTCTATTCCATCATTCCTAGCAGGTATTTTTGACACTGAACTCTGAAAAATAATATTATATTCTACAGTTCTGAGTTACCGACTCGTTCTACAGTGTGACCAATTGTTTGACTAAACACAAGTTATATTTATATCCCCAAATTGTCATTTCATTAAATGTTTCTTGTATGAAGTAAATGATATATACTCTGAAGAATGGTTGAAAAAACATCGATATTGTATTCATATCAAGTAAACCAAGAAATTCAAATATTTTCATTACTTTCATGTCAGTTAAAGGAAGTTCAAATACTGAAATATGAAATTCAATATCAGACGGATACATTTCGA